AGAAAGAGGGGAGGAGGCTGGTGCAAGGTTAATGCACTAGAAAGAGAAATTAACAGCTGGACTCAGCCACCGAGAGCTCTATGGATGGGAAACATGGGGGTCTACAGTTTGGGGCAGGAAAGAGCATAATCATCCCTCTCCAAAATGCATTCTGCTTCACGTAGGAAGCCTGTGCTTATGTGGAACAGCAGCCCAGCCCTGTACCCGCAGTCAGTATCACTGTCTGCCTAACCAGCAAGCTCCTGCCAGGGACCAGGAGCCCACCAGCAAAAGCTGCACAAAAGAGAGGGGGAAGCCCCAGGACACCGCTCCCAGCCACTGTCCCCGCTCTGTGTCCCACCTGCCGGTCCAGAGACAGTCCCCATCCGGAGCAGCTCTGTGTAGCCCCTTCTGTACTCGCTCGTGGCCAGAGTCTGGGCTTCACCCATCCAGGGACTGTTCTCTCGCCCTGCCAGTTCCACCCTCCTGCCAAACCACCATGACCCAGCCTGGCCCTTGACCCACCCATTCACCCCAGCAGCTAAGCACTGTGCACCCCCTCTACATCCTCAACCAGGCTGCAGTCACCCGGGGCAGCCCCAGCTGGTGTTTTAGCCTGTAAGATCACTGGTCAAGCAGGAATGCGGATTAGAAGCTAGCAAGTTCTTTTGCTACTGATGTCCGCCTCCATCTCCCTTGTGAACCCTGGGATAGGAAACTGGGAGCAACAAGGTCCTGGTCTAAGGGGCTCCCTACCTTCAAAATGGATTTTACCTGTCTCTGAAAGCTGCCTCCATCTCTCACCCCCCATTGCTTCTTCCCTAGGGAAATCAGTCTAAAAGAGGCTAATGGAACAATGTCCCTCTCTCCCCCCCCTCTCATTTTCTCTTTTTTTTTATTAGCATTTGTGGAATTTATTCCCAAACTCTCCTAATCTTTCGTACACAACCATTTGATTTGCATAACCCAGCCCCCTCTCATAAAAACTGGCTGCTAGTTTAATTAAAAAATGTAAATTTGCTGTCATCTCGGGGCCTGGTGAATTAGGACGACATCGGCATTTTTTATTGCTGAAGACGTCCAAATTGATCCAGTCCGCATTGAACCGGAGGGGAGGAGATGGTGCCGCGTGGGACTTTTGGCTGTAGGTTCTGCCCCTCCCCTGCTTCCAGCCAAGCCTCCTCTGCCCCCTCTTTGCTTTGCAAAGTGCAGCTGAGGACGAGGACATTGGTTCTCCCAAACCCCAGCTGGATCGGCCAGCATGGCCTCTGCGATGTCAGCATTTCTGGGAGCTGAGCCCTGGGTGGCACCTGAGCTCTCCAAACCCTGGGAACAGCCGCATCTTCAAACTCTGGGTGGGAGGGAAGGAGCCCAGGTGGAGGTGGGAGATGCAGCAGAGGCAATGGTTGTCTTCACCTCCCACAGACTTTTCATTACTTTTCAGATACTTTCAACCAACTTTTCAGAGGGAAACCTAAACTCCAGGCTACATGGCAGCCTAGGGTTATGATCTAATATCAGAGGAAGAGTCAAAGTGGACAGAAAGGCTTGTGCTGTGAGGGCAGCCAAGTGCTCTGGTAGCATGAGAAGTGGGACAGACAAGGCTGCACATGCAAAAGCCCTGAAATAAATTCCAAGCTCAAATAGTCCTTTCCGACAGTGGCAAGGAGGACTCAGAGTGGAAGCATAAATAGTCCAGGAAAACAGAAAGATAAACTGATGATGTGGAAGCTACGTATTAAATACTTGATCCCTTCCAGTCGAGGTATCTGTATCATTCAACGCCGGTTTTGGTACATGTTGCCTTTCCCTGCTCTCGGACGCTATGTTTCACAGCGGAAGGATGCAGTACCCGCACACATTAGCAGACCCCGCTCTGTCGGTAACAGACCTGGTTTAGAAGGAGGACCCAGCGGACAGGGTGCAGGCAGGGAAACAGAAGTTTATTATCTCAGAGATCAATTTTCTGGTCTTTCTGGGAGTTATCGCTCTATAGCGCCAAACCAGGAGAAACACTCCTACAGACTTAGCAGGCTTTGAAGCATGCTCTTCAAGTAATACCTGGGCCCTGCTTACACCATTGTGAGAAGGTTAATCCCTGCCCAGGTAAACCCTTCTCCCAGGGAAGTCTTCACTAGGTAGGCTTAAGCACTTGAATGCTTTCCACCCAACAAGCATCTCACAGGACTACTGGAAAGTGGTCTGAAAACCCAAACAAACTGCCTGTGAGCCTTCTGCAGACCACAAACTCAGCACAGGAATGGTACCAACCTTGACTGAGCCAATGACTCTCCAAAAATCTGTACTGTCAAAAAAAAAAAAAAAAAAAAAAAGGAAAAAAGAAAAAAAGTGCTGGCACCAGCCCAGAGAAGGCGTTCCTATCCACTGGGTGTTTCAAACAACAACAGTGATTTGACAGAACAGTCACAAAATGACCCCTTGAGTGGGAAATTTGGCACTTTTCTACTCGTTTACCATTGGTTTCTTGGTCTCCATTCTGAGATCAGTTCCTGTAATCTCATACCAAGAATAATTAGGCTGGGGAACAGTTTCCCAAAGGAAGTGACAGGTGCCCAGTCACTCAAGATATTTACAACCAGACTTGCAGAAAGTCACATGTACGGAACATCTTGCCACGATACTGGGCGGATGGACTCAGTCCATGAATTCTTTCCAGCCCTTAACCACTATGAATGCTTCTGAGTCTAGAAGGCCCATGCAAGGATTGACTGAGCTAAGAAAGCCCTCAGCAAGACCAGACTGTCAGACCCCACATACCAAGTCCCTCTGGGAAAGAAACCCCTCTGGACTTGCCTCTGCCAACTGGCAGCTCCTGTGAGCAGCCCTCAGGCACTGCCTCCGGGGAGCCACAGCCTGAGGGCTTGGAGAGAATTCAAGAGGCAGCGACTGAGGGAGATAAGCTGGCCCAAGTAGATAAGGGTGAGAGGTAGTGATTATGGGGCAGGTCTTTGCCCCAAGATCATGACAAGACGGGTTCACCCACACAGACCGTAATGCTGACTTAAACAGATCTCCCAGCTCCTCATTTCCATGCCTTACTGCAGCCCTGGGTTCCCACACCGCAGCACCCAACCCCACGTGCTACCCTGGCGCAGCGTCGGGAAGGCGGATGCCACTTCCGAGCAGAAGGAAGGTCCCTTTTGGGAGGGGTGTGGGGGTAAGGAAAGGCATTGGCTTGGCCATCCCTTTGCGGGGTGGGGGGGCCGGGCGGGGCCAGGGGCCCATTGGCCAGCGGGCAGCGCTCCGGCCAGCAGGGGGCGCCGCCTCCCTGGGGCCTGAGGCCTGGCGCTGCCGCAGCTCCTCCCCAAAATGGCGGGCAGGGGCAAATCACTGGCTCTGGCTCTGCAAAGCATTTGCCCTCCCGTAGTTTCACCACATCCTTCAACTCCCGGGCTGCCCACGCAACCTCCCAGCTCCTTGATCTAGAAGGGAGGCAGCCGCACGCCCACGGCTGGACCCGAGTGGAGCCGGTGTGGCGCGCTCGCGGTTCCTGAGCCGCTCGATTCCTGATATCGCTGATAGAAATAAAAAAATAAATGAAACAACCGACGACAAAATTATCCTCTCAATCAAAATATCAGAGTACATAGTTCAGGCCCAGTCAATCATCAACCAGTTTATTGCCATCTTACTCCTTATTAAAAAAAAAAAAACAACACACACACGTACACATAGGCTCTGGCAGTAATTACCTGGACTGTGGCAAGTCGCCAGCAGAGGCCTGTTTGGCCCATTGCTGCCATTTAGCTTTTAAACAGGAGAGAATGGTTTACACCATTTTGGAGGAGCAGGTATGGTTGCGTTAGCAGGTAGAGGGCCAAAGCGGTGGAAGCAGGTTGCAAAGAGGGAGGTAACATGGCCCAAGGGATTCCTACTGAACTCCAAATTTGCCCATTTTGTGAAATCTAAACGAGACCCTGCCCAGGACCGGCCAAGGGCTGGAAATCCCACCAGCACACGGGCTCCGAGCCCCTAGCTACAATGAGGCCCCAGCCTGCCCAAGCCCTGTCCACCACCACACCCAGCCCAGCCCAGGCCCTGCTCCCGATACCTGATCAAAAACCAGTGGACGCGCCACAAAAAGCTACAACCAAAAGCACGCCCAGCCCCAATACTGGGGCCTGTAATCTAAAACCAAAACATTGCCCCAGTCTGGCCACCGTTCCTCCTCCTCCTCCTCCCCGCGAGATGTGAAGGGGTGGGGGAGGTCTCATATACCTCACATGGAAGGACAAAAACAAACCCATCCCAGATATGCCCAGGTTGAAGAAAAAAAAAAAATACTCATTAAATGTAATAAGCAGCCTCTTCATCTGACACTGCCTTGTCCCAAATAAATTAAATTCCTTTTCATTTAGACAGCACAGGAACCTGACAAGCAACCTTTACCAACAAGACGCCAGAGCTCAGAAGGGGAAAGAAATGAAAGAGAAAACAACCCACACAACTTACAATAAACACAAACGCAGAATCATTTCAAAACCCCTCTAAACTTCCCCGCCGCATCCTCGCCCTGCCGCCCGCCCGCCCGCCGCCTCGGCCCGGCCGCGCTGCCGGGAAGGACCCGGCGGAGCGGAGCCCCCGGCTCACCTCGCCGCCCGCCTCCGCGGGGCCGGGGAGAGCGGGGCCGGAGCGGCGGCAGGAGAGGAAGCCAACTTCCGTAAAACAAGTGAAAGAAAAGTGAAAGAGGCTGCGAGCCCCCGGCAGCACCTGGTGCCACCCCCGCGCCCCGCTCGGCCCGGGAGCCCCCTTCGCGCCGCCCCGCACCCGCCTCGGCGCCGGGAAAAGTTTCGGCGCGGCGGCCCCGGGCACCGGGTCCCGGAGGAACCGCCCGCAGAGCCCGGCCCCGCGGCGGCGGTGGAGGGACGAGACGAGCGGTGGGGCTGGGGGGGCAGGCAGCGCTCCGCACCGCGGGCACCGGCAGCCGCACCGAGCGGGGGCTCGGCCGAGCGGCGGGCAGGGGGCTGGGGGCAGGAAAAGGACAATTGTGCTGTACTTACCATAGTCGGAGAGACGAAAGCCGAATTCACTTAAATAATCAACTTTCATAATACTTAATTAATACCTAATTGCAGCTGATTGCTCCCGAATAACAAGTTGTTTAAAGCACTGATGTCATTGCCGTGCCGGTCCTCCCCGAGTCACTTTGGCAGCGGGGCCGGGGGCGGGCGCCGGCCGCCGCGGGGGGCGGTGACTGGCAGCCGGCGGACCCGCCTCCGCGCCGGGCCCGCCGCCGCCGCCGCTGCCGCCGGGGGCAGGTGCGGGGCCGGGGCCGGGGGGGTCACCCCGGGCGGAGCCGGGCCCCGCACTCGGGGCGCGCTGCCACGCAGGGCCCGGCCCCCCCCCCGCTCCCATCGCCGTTCCCTGCCCCGCGGGGAGCGAGGGACCCACGCGTGGATGCGGGAGCCCCGGAGCAGGCGGGGAAGGAGCCGCCGGCGCGGGGCAAACCGCGGGAGTGTGTGTGTGTGTGTGTGTGTGTGTGTGTAGGGGGGGAGTGGGCTGAGCCGCGCCGGGGCCCGGGCCTGGCAGGACCCGCAGCCCGCGGGAAGGTGAAGGGACAGAGCGGGCTGCCCCGGGCACAGCCTTCCCACGCGTGTCCGGACTCGGCCGTGCAGTACGGGGCACGGCCCCGAGGAGGGCCGGAGCCCGTGGGGTACCCGTCGCCGGTGGTGGCCCGGGGGGCCGCTGTCACAAGCCTGGACGTTAAAGCATCTTGCCCAACGCCCCACAGGAAGCCAGCCCTGCTCCACCGCCGGAGTGCTTGGCCCACGGGAGGGGTGGTTTTTCTTTTGCAGCAAATTTCCTCATTTTTTGTTGCTTTATTTTTCTAAGTAGCAAAGAATGCGAGGGAGGTTCTAAGAGGCGTGTTGGGTAAACACAGATATAAGCCTCTTTCTTTAAAACAAACGAGCAGATTATTTACCTGATTAAATAGGTATTTTGAGCAGGTTGTAGGCTGTTTTTGTGAAGACACCACGTTTGGCTCCGTGGATTTTGGCAGAGCAGGGCTGGGGAGCAGTCCATGAACTCACCAGCTCTTAAATCCTTTTTATAAGCAGAACTTAATGTGCTTTTCAAAGGAGGCCAGCATCATTACCCCACTGCGTGGATGGGGAAACTGAGGCACTAGCAAGGGAACTGACTCGCCAAAAGTGGCTGGCCAGGTTAGTCACAGGGCTGGAAGGAGCCCAGGTCTGTTTGGCTCTGGCACACCAGGACACGCTGCACCCGGAGAGTGTCCAGAGCCCAGAGACCCAACACTGCAACTGCAACTCGTCATCTAACCCAGCTCTCAGCAAGAGCTGCACCTGCATGCATAAAAACACACAGGCAGCGTGCCGGGCCAGAGGGCGGGGAGAAGGAAGGGGAGAGGGGGAGTCATTTCTGAAAACTGCAAGTATTCTGGCTTTTTCTGGAAAAAATCTAAACAAAGTCTAGTGAAATGCAGCCAGCATGCGCTGCCCAGGCAGCGGAGCCCGGCCAAGCAGCACTCCCGACCGGAGCCCCTGCACAGGGCTCACCTCCCCACCCGCTGCAGGCGAGCTACTGCATTAGGAGAGATGGGCAAAACACCACCAGCATCACCCCGACTTCCCCTCCTGGTTTCTAACCGTGCCATCGGCGCCAATCAGCACCATCACCTGGTGCTGCCTTTAAAATCCTGCCTGTGTTTCACTCGGCCCCAGCACAGGCACCAGCCCAGCCAACATCCCCCACCACCCTCGACAGAGCCTGCCCCGGTCCCTATGCCCGAGTCAGACACTACAGCACCTGCCAGGGAATATCCTACCCCTGGAAACGATAGACAGCACCAGAGATGTGCTGGTTCATTGCTGGCTTTGTAATAGCTCAGTTTGGACCCAACACTTTCTTCCAGATGTGAGGTTGATGGTGGGTCCCATAAGCTCACAGCACCTTGTGTCACTCAGGTTTCTTCATTTCCACTTCTCCTATGAACTTGATGTTTAAGCAGTGGGAGTTCTGCTCACCACCGCTGTTCCCTAAGAGAGCAGCTCAGCTGTACCTCTGACTTCTTCCGAGGGGGAACACACTATAACACAGATGTGTCATTGAACATACAGAGCCACAAAGACCCTCTGAACATACCTGTTCTTCTACACACGCCAAGCTGAGCACGTTCACACATCAGTATACAAATGATCCTTACCCCTCCCATCCCAGCACGCACATGCAACATGCATATGCACTCTGACAAAGAAAATGATACTCTGTGCTCACTCACATTCAAATGCACACATATCCATACGCCATGACACACATGAACCCACACACACAACCAAAACACACCCCGAGGATCCCCTCCGCAGACTTCCCACTGTCCCTCCCACTCCTCCTTGCAGGAACAACTTGCCAAGGTGTTTTTTCAGGTGAAGTCCACGCCCTGCAGCTGACGCAACAGCAAGGCCTGATTTCCTATCTCAGCGATCTCCAGTCACAGGATCAGGTTTTATTTCCCCATACTCCCTCCTTTGCCTCTTACCCAAGAAAAGTTTGTTCTTTCCTCTCTCGGAGGCTGTGGAGCTTTCTGCTGCTTTGGGGACCACTGTGCCCCCCGTTAGAGCAGCATCTCCCCTTCTTCCCCGATCCCTCCAGGATATGGATCCTCTCCGAGGAAAAGCTGCCTCGGACAGTATCCTGGCACAAAGTGGCTCCCGGACCCACCAGTCCCCAGGAGCGCTTGAGGGAATGCAGCACCCCTCATCCTGCTCTGAACTGTGCCACTGTGCCATGGCAAGAGCCACCCCGGCCGCTCCAGCCACGGCTGCCCTTTTGCGGCAGGTGAAGAGATCTCTCCTTGTCCCTTCCCACCCTCCCAGGGGCATCGGGAGCTCTCAGTAATTAATGTTTGCCAGGTGCTCAGAGATCCTCAGATGAAAAGTGCAATGGGAGGGGGAAGGATGATTAATTTATTATTATTATTACAGTTTAATGCTTTCCCCGCAGACAGTGTGCCAGGGCTGAGCAGGGTGTGAGTCACACTGATATGTGGGACATCCCCCTTTTGGTGTCTCTTCTACCTTTGTTTTTTATGCTTAGCCCATTTTCTTGGCAGTTTCTCCCTCCTTAGCTGGAGCTGACCCCAGGGCCTGGGGCCGTGCTCTGGATTCATGTGGGCTCAGGGCGCTGGCTCTCAGATTGCAGGTTGGAGATCTGGCAGCGCTGTGCTCCTCCTCCTGCTCCTGCTTGGGGAGTCTATTAGGCAAATGCTCTTGCCCTATTTCTGTAATTTTGTTTGATTTCTGTTTCGTCAAGGGAGGCGCCTGGAGGCCTCGGGGCCTGGGCGGCAGGAGCAGACAATCCGTGCTTTCTTTCCCTTTCCTTCTCCTTCGCTCCTTCCTTCTCAATTCAGTTTCAATCACATTATTGGCACATGGCACCCAGAAAGCATTGCCAAAGCGGCTGTGCCGACTCTCAGTGTGCCGGGTGGGGCTCTGTTGGGATCGCTCCTGCCATCTACTATTCCTTAGCGTTACTCAAATAGTTTGAAACCAGCTCCCCACCATGTGGCTGCTGCCCTTCCAGACACTCCACAGCTTCCAGCACCTGCTGGAAGTCAAACGCTGCTCATCTCTTGACCACTGCCCAGAGGGAATGACTGTACCAGGAGTGGGCTCTACAGCAGTGAATATACTCTGCACGTCCTCCTGCTCCACAGGGGCCCAGAAGACTTAGGGGGAAGGAGTGGCAGGGGTTTGAATGCACTAACAATTAGTTACAATTTACTACAGCGATTAAAAGTGCAGCCTGGGGATTTCAGGGCGAGGAGGCCAGGGAATAGTCCTACCCAGGCATTGCATCCAACAGGGAAGGTACCTGGCACTGAAGAGCAGGCACTCTGCCGGCAAAACCACCGAATGCCACCCTGAGCCAGCCCAGAGCTGCTCTCATGAAGCCCCGAGCCCCAGTTCAGCACACTGGGCACTGGGATGGCCTCCGGAGGCACCAGGAAACCGCTGCCCAAGGGCAGGTCCCAGGCTGGGCAAGACCCTTTCCTGCAGAACATGGGGAAGCACAAAACAAAAAGGTGATTTCTGTCTAGAGGAGCTGCAAGCCAGCTTGTGTTCCTGCACAGACACGCTTGGATGCAACCAAAAACATGTGCACATGCCATGTGCACACACACACACGTGTCCAAACACAGGAGGTCCTGCATTCGGCTGCTGCAGCACACCAGGGTGATGCCCGCCTGGGCCCCCAGGACAGGGCTGGATTGTCATGGATGTTTTAGAAGAGACTGTCCTGCTCTGGACATATGTGGAAGGCCTGATACCAAGGAGATGGCAAGTGGCTCTGGGTAGACAGGACCTCTGCTACCATACTTACTCTTCACAGTAATGATTTGCTCCCCCAGCACCTGTATCCTGAAATGGGCTGGGTCACACCAGCAGTCAGGGAAAAGCTTTCAACATGCAGCCCAGTAAGCCACAGAGATGGAACGGGCAGAGAGACGCGCTGGATTTTACAGCACTCTGATGCTGTGGAGTAAGGATGGTCTCCATAAATTCACTCTGGATTTGACCTGCCTTGGGCAGGAGCAGGAGGCAGAAAGGAGGGAAGGCAGAGGGAGCCTAGCACGTTATCAGTTCTGCAGAGGCTGTGAGCACTGCTTCCATGCAAGGCACTGAGGCGGGTACAGAGGGATGTTGAGGACTGTCCCGAATGGAGCAGGTGGGACAGACGCACATTTGTTAGAACTGACAGCAGCGAAGTGAGGGGCAATGATGGAGGAGGCAAGAAAAAGGCAGCAAGAGCAGAGAGGGGAGACCCTGGACTGCAAATAGTGGGGACTGATCGCAACCCTTCCTCTGGGATGGGACAGCAGCATCCCCACCACAGCAATGGGGGAAGGCAAAGCATCCCCTCGTGCGTGAGGCACAGTGACGGGTGTGTGCAGAGAGATGCCCAGGATGCAGCACGCGTGCATCCGCGTGGGCTGGCCCTGCTCGTGCAACGCGGCTGCCCGAGCATCGCCGGTGCTGACACAGGGGATACGCGAGCACGCACGCAAGAGAGTCCAGGTACACGCCAATGCCACGTGTGCACACGCACCGGCAGCGACATGTGTGTCTGTGCACGGGGACCCGTGTGCAGTGAAGCAGCACACCGACACCACCGGG